ATCTAATGAATTCTGGCACGAGGAGGATGCCCTCCTCCTATTATAAAATTCCCTTAACATGGACCTAATACATGTACATGGACCTGGAATACATTGTACATGTATTTAGAATAAATGTTACACGTGTATGTACTCTACTGGACCTCATACTTTGTCCTACATGGCTGGAGCCAAAAATATCAAACCTGTTTATTGAATTTTAAAAATACATTCCAGCAGGAAGAACTATGAGTGTACTGCATGAATACACATGACCTTGCATCTATGTATAAGCTAGGTGTGTGTGTGTGTGTACGTGTGTGTGTGTGTGTGTACGTGTGTGTGTACGTGTGGCTGGAATGCAATAATGCACACTCAATCTCTTTCAGACACCGCCACATCATAAACTTTAAAAACAGTTCTTTGTGAGTGTGTGTGTGTTGAATAAAATAATGAATAAATAAATTAATTAGTATGTCCATGTGTGTGTGTGTGTGCGTGCGTGTCTTTAATTTTGAGCTATGATAAAAATGTGACTAATAAATAAGGTGAAACTTTATATTAAAATAAATAAATTAAAATATTTATGACCGATAAGCAATAGCGTGTGGTACCTCCATGTGTGTGGGTATAAGAGTCATAGAAAAAGTTACTATTACTTTACTGATAAATAATAAACACTTAAATAAGAATATATACCTAATCAAGGGCATATACCATGTACATTGTATCGCTATCATCACATAGACTTCCATATAAGAATACTAATTTTACTTTATGGACTCTTTCTATTTATGTACTTGTTTTCTGTTGTGTTATTTTTTGATAATAAAAATAGCAATGATAATAATAATAATAACAATAACAATGATAATAATAATAATAATAATAATAACAATGATAATAATGATAATAATTACAACAATGTAGACATGCAAACAAATCCAGACACACTACAAGTATCATTGACACACACAAACGGCATAAACACATTAAGAATGAACTACACTGTACAACTACATGTACCGCCACCACTGAGTCACAGTGACACACGAAAGTGTAACATTCAGACAAGTTCATATATGTAGATCGCCATGTACATGTACATGTACATCTACATGTTTATCTCCGTGTACATCTCATCTACATGTACATGTACAGTACATGTACATGGACTTGTGTGCATTTATGGACAATTCTCACATGCATACATGTACATGTACATGAATTTACGCCAATCGTGTCAAAAACTTATACACAACCTAACAAGGATAAACGTCCACGTGACTAATATACATGAGTACTTACATAGATATTGTCAATTTTGTGAGAGGATTTGACCTCAATTACATGTACATGTATATCATATGATTGCTGTGTCATTGGAACTATTCTATACACTTACAGTGTTAAGGAAGTCTTTACTTGCAAATAAAGGAACGTGAACTTCATCATAAGACATGAAGAGAAAGAATGGATTATCCTAAAAGAGAGAGAGAGAGAGGGAGGGAGAGAGAGGAGGGAGAGTAAGATTTATTTAGTATGAATGGAGAAGCATAAACAATACTAAACATACGTATACATACTCATACAGACTTGATTGCATTCACTAATCAAATTTACCAATTAAACACAAACAATTGGACAGACAAACATCATTAAAAAAGAGGCTCGCTCGTGCTGAGTTGTACAAGTAAGACAAATCCTTATTGAATTAAAGTAGGATAATGAAAATCTAAAAATAGGCCAGACAGACAATACGTTAGAAGGTCAGAATTAACTAAATAATCTGCTATAAAGTACAAACTGAATTTAATGACGCATGCTCAAAGAATCTGGAAGTTGATACCCTCCAATGGCTACAGGTCAGAGTATAAGCTTAACACAGTGGAGAAGGCGCAAGGACTAATATAAATAAAGTGTATGATAGTATATTGAATGTATTGTGGTATGTAGTGGAGACAAGAGGATGGAGAGTCATGCGGAATGTGGTATGAAACCTTTCAGCTAAGTGTATACATGTATGCGTGGGTGAATGAAAGAGCACATGAATAGCAAGTGCAGAAATAATGGAGAAGTGTGATATGATAATAATAAAGCAATGGCGTGATGCATAAAACTAAGAGCTAGTCCAAGAGATAATATAATTAAGAAATAAAAGAGGATTAAAGCTTCTCCTTAGATAATAGTTAGAGTACATACATTGTAGACTTTCAGTTATTCACATAATTATAGTAAAAGTGCTGTATTACCTTTACATAATGCAAACTGCAGTACATTATGCAAGGCTTTCTCTTTCTGTTTAATATGCTTTTATGCTATGAGTTAATACCAGCTCTGTCTAAAAAATACTCTATGCCATTTTGACTACAGATAGCCTATAATATTTTCCAAAAATTGGCTCCAAAAAGGTGCCATATTTTTGTAAATCTATTCCTTATTAAAAAAGCTAATCTTTCCCTAGATGTACATGCATGTGCTTATATGCATGATAAAACGTTCATGCACATGACAATGACAATACAAATGGACATAAAGCACCATCATGCTACACATAACATCTTTTGCCTTATAAGGTCATGCTACTATCATTATGTATAATGGTGCTACAGTGAGCATGAGTGTAGTGGATGGTACAACATGATTATAATATGATTATGATAAACTATGAATATTAGGTTAATACTAACCACATCCTCCTAACGAAGGATAGGGTCGAACAAAATAGAAACAAAGAAAATGCTATTGATTAAAAATGCGAAGGACACAATGTGAACTTAAAAGCACTGCATATGTATGCATGTATATTTTAAATAATTTGTTAGAATTAAAACTATCAAAAAATATATAATGAAAATATGTAATTGCCATGATGACAGAAGGGCAACATTTACATTACTAGCAATAGAAAAATGCACACTGGTGACGAATGATGTCCTATTGTGTTGAAACAGCAATTATCCTCCACCACACAGTACAAATTAAACCATAGGAGCAATACCACCAGGTGCAACGAATGACAGAACTATATCGTCATGATGAGCATATGACAGACTTTCATACACACCCTCACAAATAGCATATACATGTACATGTACATGTATATGCAATGTTGATGAATAGCATATTAATTGAGCAATAAAGTAACAATAAATTGACCCTTCAGGTCATACTGACTGACGTCATTATGATAAACTGCCATTTCAAATATTTCCCTCCCTCTTTCTGTTCAGTAATGCTTTTGTGCTATTAGTTAATACTAGCTCTGATTGGAAAATACTGTATGCCATTTTTAACTACAGGTAGCCTATAATAGTTTCCAAAAATTGGCTCCAAAAGTGGAGCATATATTTTCCAAAATCATGTAATTCCTAAGTAAAAAACTATATCCTTTCCATACATGTACATGCATGTGTTTATATTCATGACAAAGTCCATGCACAATTGCACATGTCAATGTCAGTACAAAGCACTATCATACTACACATAACATCTTTTGCCTTATAAGGCCATGCTACTATCATTATGTATAATGGTGCTACAGTGAGCATGAGTGTAGTGGATGGTACAACATGATTATAATATGATAATGATAAACTATGAATATTAGGTTATTACTAACCACATCCTCCTAATGAAGGATAAGGTCAAACAGAATGAAACAAAGAAAATGATATTGATTAAAAATGCAAAAGACATAATGTGAGCTTAAAAGCACTGAACATTAATTTTTGTATGAATTTAAAGTGTATGTATCCATATTTTGAATGATTTCTTAGACGCCAAATTAACAATTTAATTTGTAACAAAAAATGTACACGTACATGCATGCAACTGTCATGATTAGTAGCAACAGAAAAATGTGCACTACTGATTAATAATTTCCTCTTCTATAGAGATGCTAATTATCCTTCATGTAGAAGACAAGCTAAATTAGGAGGGATAGACAGCAGCTGGCAGAACTGTCTTGTCATGAAGATTAAATTGCAGACTTTCACATACATGTACAAGTAACGTGTACATGTACATGTGGATGCTGTGTTGATGAATGGCAATCAATTAAGCAATAACGTAACAATTAATAACTTGACCTTTTGAGCTCAGACTGACTGATGTCATTATGATAAACTTCCATTTTAAATATTTCATGAAATAAACAAAAATATGCATTTATATTATACATGTATATAGGTCCCCCACAGGATTTTGGCATAGTTATTTTTCAGAGAATTGCAAAGTCGCTCAAAAATTGGGTCAAAAACACAGGTACGGGGCAATTCGGCAAAATCACGAGGAGAGAATTTTCCATTTTTATAATTTTATCTGATACATATACATGTTCTTATGTTGTGTAGAAAGTTTGAACTGATTCCGATCACATTTGAATTTTTATGAATTTTTAAAGTTGCTCCAAAATTGGGTAAAACTCCCTGTACTATAGTACAGGGTCATCGGCCAAATTTTGCTAAAAATGAAAAGGAGAGAATTCGATCTCCATTTTTATAATTTTATCTGATACATATACATGTTCTTATGTTGTGTAGAAAGTTTGAATTGATTCTGATCAAGTTTGAACTTTTTATGAATTTTTAAAGTTGCTCCAAAATCAGGCTAAAGTCCCTGTACTATAGTACAGGGTCATCAGTCAAATTTTGCTAAAAATGAAAAGGAGAGAATTCTCCATTTTTATAATTTTATCTGATACATATACATGTTGTTATCTCATGTAGAAACTTTGAACTGATTCCGATCAAAACTGAGTTTAACTCATTTAATTATCATATGCTTTGTGAGAATTAAACCTTAACATTACCCGACACACAGACTCACATGCACATATCTTATCCAATAACAATATACATGTCCAAGCATGCAAGCCAATTTTTACACAATCTAAAAATCGCGCTAAATTTCAAGGTCATAATTAATCCTGAACTTTGTCCATAGTAGATGTCACACTGTCAATAAAAAGCAAAATAATTAGATAAATGTTTAACCTAAGAGGAAGCAAAGGCCCGTCCCTTCCCTATGGCTTCAATGATCTAATACACTCACACACACACGTACAATCATAATACAATAATATAATGACATGTACTTATTAACCTTGAGGTACACATGAGTCCTTCTTAGGAATATCAGACACAACAGCAATAAATAAAGTTGAAAATGTAAACAACAACATATCACATGACAACAAGATAATTAGCGAGTATAATTAAGAGGGTATTGTAATTAGTTATTTAATTATTATAACACAAAAACATGTTGTTTTAAAATAATAATATTTTTATTTACTTTGTTCCGTGTAATAAAATCCAATGCTCTTTCCTATAAATTTACACGACTTAATAAATACTTAATAACTAGAGGGTGTGGCTTACATTGTAACGAGGTGTTAGGGTATTCAAATTGACAGGTTGCTCGATAATCTTAGTATTATTATATAATGGAACACCAGGCCTATGCCAAGGAGAGAGAGAGGGGAAGAGAGAGAGAGAGAGAGAGAGTGAGAGAGAGAGAGAGGGAGAGAGAGAGTGAGAGAGAGTGAGAGTGAAAAGAGAGAGAGAGTGGTTGTGTACCATGATAAAAGTCTGTCCTCCTCTGGACAGAAATAAGGGGCACATCCCTCGTCTTGAGCATAAGGAAGGCCAAAGAACTCATCAAATCCTCTCTCGGTGGGTAAACAAGAAACATGACCCAGGTGCCACTTACCAATCTACAAGACAAGAGGAGAAATAAAATAAAAGAACAGGATAAAAGAGATGCTAATAGTATATTACATAGCTTTATTTTTTTATTTTGCATTTTTTGTTTCAAAAAGGGTTAGGTTGATGAAAAGGAAGAAAAGAAAACATAATAAATATTTTGAAACACATATACCATACATGTACATGTACATTCTTTATTTTAAAACTCTTTCAATTTCACATCCTTTTTCATTACATCATTATTACACAGCTATACCTCATTCAAAATATCCACACACACACACACACACACACATGTACATGTACCTGTATAGAAGCTATAATGTATAATGAATGGCATTCAAAGCATTAACATCAAAAACATGTTATTCCACTACCACAAAGAGCTTGAGCCAACTAAATGAATTAACAGTATCAAATTATGCAGCATTTTTGTATACATGTATACATGCCCACACACACAAATATTGAATACATATGCACGTACTGCACACGCAATATGTACATGTTCTACACCTAATGTTTGCAGTCTTTGATAGCATGGTATGCAAAGGAATTGGCTCCTAAGTGTTTATTGGGTTAGGACTTGTTAAAACTTTGAGTTTCTATTCCTCCAAAGCAAAAACAACCAATATAAATATTATAGTACATATACTTATTAACTGTCTAATTAAATAATATTTGTCTGACAATGGTATTTGGCTCTATGTAAATGTACTTGTTAAAATCCCTAACTTTTGACTAGCATAATAGCATTAAACATACATGTACATGTATATGTACATACAAGACAATTACATGTATTACATGTACGAGTTCTTACGAGTGCTGAGTTGTAGCCTCCTTGCTTCAATACTTGAGGTATTGTAACTTCATCTGATGGTAGTCCTCCTGTGTTTGATGGGAGGAATACTCTGAATGCCATATCAATGGGATATGAATGATCAGTGAATATACCATTCCTTACTGGTAACCGACCTTAGGAGAAAGAGAGAGAGAGAGAGGGGGGGGGGGAGAGAGAGAGAGAGAGAGAGAGAGAGAGAGAGAGAGAGAGAGAGAGAGAGAGAGAG